AAACTTGAACTTTAGAAAGGTCAAGGCCAAGTGGACAGAGCCACATGGCTTGTCAAGGGGAAGCTGTGCTCCCGGCCCTGGAACACTGCTGCTCTCTCCTGCCACACTCTAAAGGCAGTGCCAACTGGACCATAGCTGCAGGCCTGGTGGGCCAGGGTGGGGGACGGCGTTGATTCCTTGGGCTGTTCTTACTCCTTCACAAAACCCAGCTTCATGACCTGGCTCTCGGGGCTGGCATTTCTGGACTTCCATTTCTTTGTTCATAAAATCAAGTAAGAAGGTGTCACATGCCCAGCTCAGAGTGACGGCTCTGTGAAGGGCAGTGCTCTCCTCCCCCACCCTTTCAGGTCAAGGGGAAATGCAGTTGGGGTGGGGACAAAGGTAAACACTTATTTGGGGTGGAGGCTTGCTTTATGAATCATCGTAACTCAGCTGATCGCAGCCCTCTGCAAACACTTGAGGTGTTCTTGGCGTGTTACTTTCTTGAATGATGTTGCGTGGTGCTGGTGGCGGGGTGGCGGTGTGTGTGTGTGTGTGTGTGTGTGTGTGTAATTGTCCCTTCCTATATAAAAGTGTGGCCTGACTTGTCCTGGATGCACCTGTCTGTAAGGAACCCTGCTCACCACAATGGTAGGTAACTGAGTGGGTACATAGAGACCAGAAAGGAGGGGGGAAGTGTCTTCCTTATTTCACTTCTACTTGTACTGGAGCTCACGGGGTGCATTTAATGGTGAGTGGACCTAGTTAGGAATCTATTGCCATGTGACTTGGCAATTCAACGTGTAGAGTAGAAAAAGGGTGTGGGGACTCTGGGAAATCCTAACGAGTTCCCTAAGATCTGAGTTGCTCTAGAAACTCTGGGGTTCAGTGAGGTCTCTGGTGTCTCTGATTCTTGGGGCCTATTTGAGTGGCTGGTGAGATGGAATGCAATGCCGGACCAATCATTGCACCATTTTATAGATAAACTGAGCCTGGGGACTGGAAGAGACTACAAGCCTATAGGGGAGCTGAGTGCAAAGCCAGGGGTTGCTCTCTGCAGCAGGATCGCCTGGGAAACCTTGAAAAATACTGACAGGAGCTCCCAGACACTCGGATGTAATTGGTCTGCAGTGAGAACAGGGTTTTTGTTTTTTAACATTTATTTACTTATTTTAAAGGTCAAGGTCTACAGAGAGAGGGAGAAGAAGAGAGAGAGAGAATCTTTCATCTGCTGTTTCACTCCCCAAAGGGACTGGGCCAGGCTGAAGCCAGAAGTCTGGAACTTCATCCGGCTCTCCCATTGAGTGGCAGGTGCCCAACTACTTGAAGGGCCACCCTCTGCTGCTTTCCCAAGCACATTAGCAGGGAGATGGATTGGAAGTGGAGCAGCCAGGACTCAAACCATGACCCTATGTGATGCCAATATTGCAGGTGGAGGCTTAACCCCCTGCCCCACAACACCAGCTCCTATCTTATTAATTTGAAAGGCAGAGTGACAGAGAGAAGTGGAGAGACAGAAAGAGCTCTTCCATCCATTGGCTCACTCTCCAAATATCTGCAGCAGGCAAGGCTGGGCCAGGCAAAGCCAGGAGCCTGGAGCTTCATCTAGGTCTACCTATGTGGGTGGCAGGAACCCAGGCACATTAGCAGGGAGGTGGATCAAAAGTGGAGCAGCTGGGATTCGAACCAGCACTCTGATAGAGGATGTCCCAAATAACACCTTAACTTACTGCACCACAGTGCCAGCCCCCAGATCCCTTAGTCCGTGAACTCATGAATGCTCCGCCCACATGACCTAATCACCTCGGGGGGGGGGTCCTACCTGTTAGTGCCTTCCCATCTGGGTTGAATTGTTACAGGAGTTTGGGTGACGGCATTCAAAGCATAGCATGCACGCAAGACAAACTAACTTTTGGGTGGGGCCGGGGAGCGGGCTGTTTCTGAGACACTGTCACCTGGGTAATGCACCCTCTTAGTAAGGTGATCTCGCGTGGGTCACTGTCATTCAGTCTCGTGCATCTCCAGCACCCCCAGGAGTCACATCCTGCAAAGTCTTCATCTCCCTGAGTGCCCCAGGTCCTGCCACCACCAGCCCCGCCCACTTGCCAGGTGCTTTTCTGAATCATCCCTGGTTCTGAACCAGCTCTGTTCTTGGGCGAGTGGTGTTTTTCCATTTCCCACTGCTATGGGGAGGAGTCTTTTCTGAAGATCAAGTCTGGGAAGTGAAGAACTGAAGATTGGCATTGTAAACCGTGTTAAGGAGTTTGATGCACGCTCTCAAATTGCGTGCCCTAACCACTGTTCCAGCCGACTGGCCCTTGTGCCTCTCACATCTCACCCATGCGTCTGTTTCCCTCCGGGTGTTATAAATTAAATGGTTATTCTCACCATACCATTATGGTTCTATTTTATACACATTTTACATTTGTTTTGTTTTCAGTAAGTTGAACTTTTTCTCGTGCTTGCTCATCATGTTTCATTGTGTCTATGCATGGGTGTGAAATGCCTTTTTTTTTTTTTTTAAAAAAAAGATGTATGTATTTATTTGAGATGTGGAGTTACAGTGAGAGAGAGAGAGACAGAGAGAGAGAGGTATTCCATCCCACCGGTTCACCCCACAATGGCTGCAACTGCTGGAACTGGGCAGATCTGAAGCCAGGAGCCAGGAACTTCTTACAGGTCTCTCACGTGGGTGCAGGGGCCCAAAGATTTGGGCCATCCTCCACTCTTTCCCAGGCCACAGCAGAGAGCTGGATCATAAGAGGAGCAGCTGGGACTCAGACTGGTGCCCATATGCGATGCTGGCACTGCAGGCGGAGCTTAGCCCACTACGCCACAGCGCTGGCCCCAAAATGCCATTTTTATACTAAAATGTTTTTCTCTTTCTATGAGATGACAGTCTTCCTGTAATGATACTATTTTCCAAATCTGATATCTTTTTAATTTATTTATATTTTTGCAAGTTTTTACATACTCAATCTATTTTTTTCATACTGCATATGATAAATATTTGCCAATATTTTCTGTGGTTATTTTATTATCTTGTAAACATTTGAGCCTTGAATCCTTTTCAAGCTTCTTACATTGTGGCAACTAAAGTAAGAAACTTGTTTCTTCCCCACACAGTGCCTCACTTGTTCTAAAACCACTTAATGAATCATTACTCTCCTCAAAGACCATGCTTATTTTATAACAAACTTTCATACAGATTTATGAGTACTTTCTGAGTTCTCTATTTGGTTATGTATATTTGCACTTCTATTCTTTTTAATTTATTTTATTTTTTATTTTTATTATTTTTTAAGATTTATTTATTTATTTGAAAGGCAGAGTTACAGAGAGGCAGATGGGGAGAGAGAGAGAGAGAGAGAGAGAGAGAGAGAGAGGTCTTCCATCTGCTTGTTCACTTCCCAGATGGCTGCAACAGCTGGAGCTAGGCCAATCTGAAGCCAGGAGCTTCTTCCAGGTCTCCCACGTGGGTGCAGGGGCCCAAGTTGGGCTCAAGGACTTGGGCCATCTTCTACTGCTTTCTCAGGCCGTAGCAGAGAGCTGGATTGGAAGTGGGGCAGCTGGCACTCAAATTGGCCCCCATATGGGATGCCAGCACTGCAGGCGGTGGCTTTACCTGCTATGCCACAGAGCCAGCCACAGGCTAACAACTTTTAAGTGTCACAGGTTTTAAGGATTCTGCAGAAACAACAACAACAAAAAAAAAAAAAAAAAAAGAAGAAGAAGAAAAACCCTGTAGTTTAGAACACACAGAAGTTTGTGCATTTTAGTTAATGTACTTTGTAACCTAAGTTATTGCAGGATAATTCTGTCATGTATCCTGTTTGTATTTGTTGGTGTAGTTCTCATGACAGACTACACACATTTTTGTCAATCTGTACTTTTTTCAAATATTGAAAACCTTATTTTTTAATTCTTTGCATTTTTCAATTACAGAAAAGCACTTCAAGTTTTTTATTTGTGAACATTACATATAAAGCCTTTAAAACACATAACTTCAGTGCAAAAAGAGAAAGTACAAGGTGGGAGTTGTGGCACAAGAGGATTCAACTGTGGATTACCAGGCCAGTGTCCCGTGTCCAGTGCTGGCTCGGGTCCAGGCTGCTCTGCTTCTGACCCAGCTTCCTGCTAACGCTCCTGGGAAGGCAGTGGAAGGTGTCTCAGGTACTTGGGCTCCTGCCACCTATATGGGAGACCCAGGTGGAGTTCCTGGCTTCTGGCTTCAGCCTGGCCAGCCCCTGCTGTTGGGGCCATGTGAGGATGTGAACCAGCAGATGGAAGGTCTCTCCCTCTCTCTCTCTCTCTCTCCTCTCTCTCCTCCTCTCTCTCTGTCACTCTGCCTTTCAAATAAATATTCTTAAGTACTCTCACCCCATCTTTGTTTTTAGAAGATTCCTGGGGATTATCATTTTAAAGTTAGTTTGTGCAGTTTATCTAGGAACGATGACAAGCGTAACCTGATCCTTCTCCTTGTCCTTGATTTCAGCCTAGATCCATTGGTCTGTTCATACGGTCGGCAGCGATGCCTTTGTCATCTAGAAAATGAAAAAAATCATCTGATCCTCATGCTCACAGCTTTGCTTGCACCTGTCTTTCCTCTGGGACCCCCAGCTGACCCCAGCTAGCCCAAGAAAGCCCCAGCTAGAGTCTCTTCCCCTTTATCTCTTCCTGAAACTCCTCCACCCCTTCACTCTTGCAGATTCTTGCTAAAAACGACCCTACCCAGAAAGGCTTCCCCGACCGCTCTGTGATAAGTAGCACATGGGCATCATAGCTCCAGGACCTTGAACTCACAACTCAGTCTTCTTTGGCTCATGCTCTGGACTTGCACAGGTCTTGCTCCATGAGGGTGGCAGCTCCATCTTTCGCACACCTGCCAGGACCCAACCCTCTGGGTTCATTCATGCTCCGTCCTCACTCCTCTTCATGTTACAGAACACTCTGCTGGGCAGCCTTGTGGTCTTCGCCAGCCTCTTGGTGTTGTGCAACACGCAGTGCTTATGTCGAACTCTATGACAAGAACCCGGAGGATCCCCCTGATGGTGAGTCCCCATTCTCCAGCGTTGATTATGTCACTGCAGCCTGGGAGATGTGACCTGTGCACTGGTGCTGAACACCTTTGAATCTGCATAAGAAAGAGGGTCAGGGCAAATATAGAGATGGTGTCAAAAGGATTCCAACTTAACCCTAGCTGGGTGAGAGTTGACTTTGTTCTTCTTTTGAAACTTACCAGCGCTCAAGTCCCATCCAATCTAAAACCAGGTAGGCAAATGAGAATCACTGGGGTATGAGCTGCACATTAAAAGCTCCTTGATGGGGTGAGCATTTGGCTTAATAGTTACACTGTGGCTTGGGACCCCGTATCCCATACTAAAGTGCCTGGGTTCAAGTCCCAGCTCTGCTACCAATTCTAGCTTCCTGCTGTTGTGCGTCCTGGGAGGCAGCAGATGACGGCTCAATTCATTGGGTCCTTGCAGCTCATGTGGGAGACCTGGATGGAGTTCTGGGCTCCCAGCTTTGGCCCTGGGCCACACCAAGGTTGCTGTGGGCATTTAGGGAGTGAATCAGCAGATGGGAGCACCATATGTTGCTCAAAAATAAAATAGAATAAAAGCTCCTTATTGACTATGAAGTGGGGCACAGCCCTGGGTCAGTGGCTCTGCAGGCAGATGTGGGAGTCTGCATGTCTCATGCCACCCCAGGTGATGTTGCAACTGGTCCTTCCGGGACACTGGGACCACATGGATGCAAAGCAGAGGATTGTACCCTTGGTTAAACATTTGAATTCTTGGGAGTGGTTCTTTTTTTTTAAGATTTATTTATTTTATTGAAAGAGTTACACAGAGAGGAATGGCAGAGAGAGAGAGAGGAGAGAGAGAGAGAGAGAGAGAGAGAATCTTCCATCTGCTGGTTCACTTCCCCAATGGCTAAACTGGCTGGAGTTGGGCTGATCCAAGTCAGGAGCCAGGAGCTTCTTCCAGGTCTCCCACGTGGGTGCAGGGGCCCAGGGACTTGGGTCATCTTCCACTGCTTTCCCTGGCCACAGCAGAGAGCTGGATTGGAAGGGGAGCAGCTGGGACTCAGACTGGTGCCCATATGGGATACCGGCGCTTCAGGCCAGGGCATTAACCCGCTCCACCACAGCGCCAGCCCCGGGGAGTTTCTTAAACATGTGGTGGCCTGGGCTTCACACCCAGAGACTCTGATTTCCTTGCTCTGGGGTGGGTCCCAGATGTAAATTTTTTTATTTCAAATTTTCCATTATCTATTTTGTTTATTTGATAGGAAATGGACAGGGAGAGAAGCGACGGAGACAATGAGCTTCCAAACCCTGACTGGTCCACTCCTGAGATAGCCCAAATGCCCACCTCCAAGTGTTCAATTTTAAAAAAAATTATCTTATGTATTTTAAGGCAGAGTTACAGAAAGAGAGGAAGGGACAGAGAGAAAGTATGAGAGTGGGGGAGAGAGAGACGTTCCATACACTGTAGTTTCCCCATGTTGAGTGCCAGGTGGGCCCAACTAACTGAGCCATCTTCCACTGCTTCCCCAAGCACATTAGGAGGGCACTGGGTAGGAAGTAGAGCAGCTGGGACTCAAAGTGGCACCCATGTGGGATGCCGGCCTCTCACAGGTCCCTGTAGGTGGCTTTGAAGTGCCCCGTATGTGTCACATGTTCACCCAGGGTTAGGGACCGCCGATGCAAAACATAGGGAGGTGCTGTGCTGAGGTATTTCTGCAGAGAGAAGCCAGCAGGAGAGAACTTGGTCCCACAGAGCCCCATGCTTGTCCTAGCTGTCTGATTAAAGAGGAGGGCTTTATATCTCCAAATGTCTGTCCGGAAATAAAACCTGCAGGGATTCAAGCTTTGTGACAAAACATCACCAACGGCAGGTTCTGCATGGCAGCACCTTTCCTGGACACCATGGTCACATGGCAGGGGGCTGGCCTTCCTGTCCTCATGTGCCCTGCTCCCGCCAATGCTCCCGATGACGTCGCTTGTGTTGTCTTAGAATGCAGGGACCTTGATGGAGTCACACACAAGCTGAACGTGCAGTGGAAGACTGAGAACTGTTACACATGTAGTTGTGATGAGACTGGAATTCATTGCTGCAACACGTGAGTCACGCGGGTAGTGGCGGAGAGAGGAACAGCACTGCTCCTTCTTTGAAAACCCTGTATTTTGGGGGCATCCTTATTTGTTTTAAATAGGCTTTTTTATAGGCATTTTTAAAGAGCCTCTTGGATTCCCAGCAAAATTGAGCAGAGCTAGAGCGATTTCTCATACACCTCTGCCCCCATACATGCACTGTCTCCCTGTTAGCAGTGTCTTCCACCAGCGGTGCATTGGTTACTGACCTCACATGGACTCATCCTTGTCACCCAATGGCCACAGTTCACATTCACTCTTGATGCAGTGGTGGGGGTTGAGGGATGGAAGTCATTTTTAGTCCTATTTCTTTTATTCTTTATGTAATTAATTGCACACACACACACACACAGAGAGAGACAGAGAGAGAGACAGAAAGAGAGATCTCCCACGTGTCAGTTCACTCCCTAAATGCCTTCCTGCCAAGACTGGGTCAGGGAGCCAGGAACTGAATCCAGATCTGCCCAGACTCCCATGTGGTGGCAGGGACCCAAGGACTTGAGCTCTCACTTGCTGTTTCCCAGAGTGTGTATTAGCAAGAAGCTGGAATCTTGAACTGGGACCCCAACCCAGGGACTCCAACATGGAATGCAGGAAATCCCAGGGGTATCTTAACCACTAGGCTGAATGCCCACTCCTCTCTTCCTTCTTTGGCTTGTGGTGGAATACGTAGCACATTAAACGTACCGTTTCAGCCATTTGTAAGTATACACTTCAGTGGCATTAAATAAATTCATTGTGGCTGCCACCCCCCTGCCATGCCCTTCATCCTGAAGAACTGGGATTCTGCACCCAGTCAACACTGCCCTCGCAGGGGCTGGTGCTGTGCTGCAGTGGGTTAACACCCTGACCTGAAGCGCTGGCATCCCATATAGGCGCAAGTTCTAGTTCGGGCTGCTCCTCTTGCAATCCAGCTCTCTGCTATGGCCTGGGAGAGCAGTAGAAGATGGCCCAAGTCCTAGGGGCCCTGCACCCATGTGGGAGACCTGGAGGAGGATCCTGGCTCCTGGCTTCAGATTGGCGCAGCTCCGGCCGTTGTGGCCGGCCATCTGGGGAGTGAAGCAGTGGATGGAAGATCTCTCTCTCTCTCTGTGTGTCTACCTCTCTGTAACTCTGTCTTTCAAATAAATAAAATAAATCTTAAATTAAAAAAAAACACTGCCCTTGGGGCTTGGCAAACACCATCTGTCTCTATGAATTTGACTGTTCCAGGCTCCAAATGTAAGTGGAATCATGCACGTGTTTGTCCTCTTGAGACTGGCTGCTTCACAGAGTGTGGTGTCCTCCGAATTCACCCATGTTGTGGCCGGTATCAGAATTTCCTTCCTATTTGAAGGTGGACTAACACTTCATTCTGCACATTTTGCTTAGCCATTCGTCTGCTGGCGTACACTTGGCTGCTTCAGTTTTATTTCCTTTATGTTGCTTTTGGAACTTGGTCAACGCCTTCTCTTTAAAAAGTATCTGTTTTATTTATTTGAGAGACAGGTAGAGCGAGCTGCCGCCTGCTGGCTTCACTTCCCAGATGTCTGCTACGTCTGGGATTAGGCCAACAGATGCTGGGAGTGGGAACCAATCCTTGTTGGTGGCAAGCCTCAACCACTTGAGCCACCGCTGCTGTCTCCCAGGGTGTCCATTCTCGGTGAAGCTGAATTGAGAGCAGAGCTGCCTTCAACCCACTACTCAAATGTGCGATGCGGCCACTCAGCCAGCAGCTTAGCCTCTAAGCCCCACAAATGCCCACCCAGTTTCCCTTATTCTTTGTTTAAAAGATTTATTATTGGGGCTGACCCTGTGGTGTAGGAGGTTAAGTCTCCACCTGCCATGCTGGCATTCCATATGAGCGCCAGTTCAAGTCCCAGCTATTTACACTTCTGTTCCAGCTTCCTGCTAATGGCCAGGGAAAGTAGTGGAGGATGACCCACGTGCTTGGACCCCTGCACGCACATGAGAGACCTGAATGAAGCTCCTGGTTCCTAGCTTGGATTGGCCCAGCTCCAGCCCTTGCGGCCATTTGGGGAGTGAACCAATGGATGGAAGATCTCTCTGTCTCTCCCTGTAACTCTGCCTCTCAAATAAATAAGTATTTTAAAAATATTTATTAAAATATAAAATATATAATATAATTATTATTATTATATTTATTTATTTGAGAGGCAGAGTTACAGAGGGGAGGGAAGAGAGAGAGAAAGAGAGAGAATCATCCCTTGGTTCACTCCCCAAATGATTACAATATCAAGGGCTGGGCCAGGCCAAAACCAGGTGTCTGGAACTTCATCTGGGTCTCCCAAGCACTCAGGTCATCTTCTGCTGCTTTCCTAGGCCATTAGCAGAGAGCTGGATGGGAAGAGGAACAGCCGGAACTTGAACAGATGCCCATATGCAGGTGTCACTTTTCCCTGCTGCAGCACAGCGCTGGCCACAGTATCATTAGCCTTAAATCTCTGTATCCAGAGGGGTTCTTGGAGACAGGAAAGCCTATGCAGTGGTCGATGTTATTGGAGAAGCTGGCCCAGCCATCAGTGCAGCCTTGGCCTTGGCCACTAGGAGGAGCAGGCGGTGCTGGATGTGAGGTGTAAGGAATGAGGGCGCAGCGTGTGTACCTTGTGCTGTCAACCCTATGTTGTGCTGCTGGGAGTTCTACCCACCCACGTCAGCTCAAAGGTCATGCAAATGTGTTCTGCTGGGGTGCTGTGGACACCAAAGTCTAGACTGGGGAGGAGACAACACAAAATACCCACAGGTCTGTCCACACCAGCCACCCTACTCCTAGCCCCCTGCCCCAATCCATCTGCCATCCACATCAGCTCTGGCCTGTGGTGTTTCACAAGCACGTGAGTGGCCTTGACGGGAGCACGTGTGTAAAGCAGCTTTCCCACACTTGCTGGTCACAGAGTCCTCTGGGAGGCCAGGTGAAATGCAGATTCCTGGGCCCTACCCCAGAGCCTCTGATCAGAATCCATAGGGAGAGACCACGGAACCTGAATTTTTTAAAAAATATTTTTATTTATTTGAGAGGTGGAGCTACAGACAGAGAGAAGGAGAGACAGAAAGAAAGGTTTTCCATCCTGGTTCACTCCCCAGATGGCCACAATGGCCAGGATTGGGCAGATCTGAAACCAGGAGCCAGGAGCTTCTTCCAGGTCTCCCACATGGGTGCAGGGGTCTAAGCACTTGGACCACCTTCTTTTGCTTTCCCAGGCATATTAGCAGGGAGCTGGATCAGAAGTGGAGCAGCAGGGACTTGAACTGGTGCCCACATGGGATGCTGGCACCACAGGCAGAGGTTTAGGCTACTGTGCTGCAGCACCAGCCCAGGAACCTGCATTTTAACCAGGGCTTCCAAGAATCTGATGACAACTCCAGGGAGTAGGGGAGTGATCTTCTGACCCAAACCAGAACACTTGAATCTCATTGAAGTTCGCGTGGCTGGCAAGTGCCACTCACATTTGTGAAGCAGGTGCCAATGCTAAGTACCTACTGGAACAAAAGGCATATGGAACCGGGCCTCCAGCTGGCTGCCCGCCCAGAGCAGGCTCCCAGGCATCTACTGGCTGGGGCACTGTGTGTTCCATTTGAATCTTGATGTTGTGGCCCCAGAACCTTGAATTCTCCCTTGTGTCGAGTGTCAGTGGGACCCTGGTGTGCCTGGCTGGGTTAAGGGCTGGTGAACTGTGCCTTACTCCCACCGAGGGCACCTCCGTGGTGGCATCCCCATCCCATCAGTGCTGTATCATCACGTCCCATCCATGGGACCCTCTTCTAAGGTTCCCATGGACCCCGAGTAGAAAGCAGCCAGGGCTGCCCCAGGCAGTGAGGTGGGAGGAGCCTCGATGCAGGAGTCTCAGTGAGCTTACTCAGCTCTGGCTTGTTGCATGCATTTGGGAAGTGAACCAGCAGGTGGAATCGCTCCCTTCCCCCATATCTCTGCCTCTCAAAAGATAAAAATCCATTTGCTCAGCAAACACGTCACCTTCTCTGTGTCAGTTCTGAGCGCCCTGAGCCTGGAATGGCAACTAGCACGTGGTTGGGGTGAGGGTACCTCTCCCTCTCTGCTGCTATGTTGCCTGTCCACAGGAAGTATGCTCACTTCTCTCTACTGCTCAGAATCAACCCCTTCCCTGGAATTGCTCCATTGCTTACCAAGTTCGTTTTTCTCATGAACTCCTCTCTCTCCCTCTCCTGACCAGAGCAAAATACAGATTTTGATTAACTTTCTTTGGGAGAATTTCCTGGATCCTTGCACCTTACTTGAGACACAGGTAGATTTCCAAGTGGCAGTAGCAGTGGAGCCTGGGGCTGGAGGCCCAGGCAGAGGCTGCCCCCATCAGGGGGTGGGAGATCTGGCCTCCCCACCTCCCAGCCCTGCTCTCTGACCGCAGCGAGGGAGTGAGCTGTGGAGGCAAAGGCCCAAGGTCATCCAGCCCCCAGCGCTGAGACACCCCTAATGTTCCAGTTTTCCCTTCTCATTCTCTCTTTAGCTGTTTCAGCTACAGAATTGGGTCTGATTTAAATGAAAATATGCATCCAGTAATATGCCCTTTGCCACTGCAACTTGTACCTGCACGCAGACAACAGAATTACACAATTTCATTTCCTACTAAAAACTTGTAAAAAAAAAAATCTCACCTAGGGGCCAGCATTGAGATGCAGCAGGTTAAACTGCCACTTGGGACACCACATTTCATACTGGAGTGTTGTTTCCAGTCCTGGCTGCTCTAGTTCCAGTACACTTGGGAGAGAGCAGATAACAGAGCAAGTGCTTGGGGTCCTGACTCCCATGCGAGAGACCCAAATGGAGTTCCAGGCCCCTGGCTTTGGCCTGGCCCAGATCTGGCTGTGGGGGCATCTGGGGCAGTGAATCGGCAGATGGAACATCTCTCTCTCTGTGTTGCTCTGCCTTTCAAGTAGATGAAAACCAACAGACTTTAAAAAAAAAAAAACTAAGAATATCTCTTGAACAACAACCACTTTCTTTTTAATTTTTTTTTATTGTGGTAAAATCTATATGACCAAACATTTGCCAGTTTCACCACTTCAAAGCATACAGTTCAGGGCCGTGAAGTTCATGCACAGCCAGAGGCACCCATCACCGCCATTTCTAGAACTTTCCAGGGACTCCAAACCAAAACTCCCCGTGTATGCAGTCCTACCTCCCCCTCCTCCTCCCCCAGTCCCTGAGAACAACTAATCTACTGTCTCTGTGGATGTGCCTAGTGTAGATCTTTCTTGGAACTGAATTGCACATTTATCTTTTGCACTCTGCATATTTCGCTCAGCAGCACGTTTGCAGGGTTCATCCGTGTTGCAGCCTCTTTCAGTAACCCCTTCCTTTTGAAGCCTGAAAAATATTCTGTGTTATCGGAATAGCCTATTTTACTTCCGTTCCTGTGCTGACGGACCTGTGGGTTGCCTGCACCTTGGGCTGTAGTGGGTCCTGCTCTACAGTATGGTTGAGTCCCTGCTGTCAGTTCTTTGGGAGCGTGTACCTGGGGTGGAGTGGCTGGGTCTCATAGTGTGTATTTTTTTTAACTCTTTGAGAAACTGCCCATCTGTTTTCCACAGTGGTCACAACATTCACATTCCATCCTGTAAGCAACCATATTTTTAACTTAAAATATTGTTGGATTCAATTTTATCAGTAAGCATTCTTTTAAAAAAGTTATTTATGTATTTGAAAGGCAGTTACAGAGAGAGAGGGAGAGAGAGAGCAAGAGAGATCTTCCATCTAATGGTTCACTCCCCAAATGGCCACAGCATCCAGGCTGGGCCAGACCAAAGCCAGGAGCCAGGAGCTTCTTTCAGCACTCAGGTCATCTTCCACTGCTTTCCCAAGTGCATTAGAAGAAAGCTGGATTGGAAATGGACTTTGAACTGGTGCCCACATGGGATACTGGCATCACAGGTAGCGGTTTAACCCTCTACGCCACAACACTGGTGCCCAAACAACCATTTTTAACATCAAAAGTTTCAGTAATAATTTCCCAAGTTTTCAGTATAAACATAGTAATTATAGCACTATTGGAAAGTACAGGAATAAAATTATTTATAATCTCACTGCTTGAAGGTAACAACGATTAGTATCTTATCCTGATTTCCTTCTAACTCCTTTTTTGTTTTGTTTTAAATATTTATTTATCTGAAAGTCAGAGTTATAGAGATGGAGAGAGAGGAGGGAGAGGAGAAAGAGAGAGAGAGAGGTCAACCATCCACTGGTTCACTCCCCAGATGTCCACAACAGCCAGAGCTGTGCTGATCCGAAGCCAGGAGCCAGGAGCTTCCTCCAGGTCTCTCACGTGGGTGCAGGGGCCCAAGGACTTGGCATCTTCTACTACTTTCCAAGGCCACAGCAGAGAGCTGGATCAGAAGTAGAGCATCCAGGCCTCCTGGCTTCAGATCAGCGTGGTGCACCAGCTGCAGCATACCGGCTGCAGCGGCCATTGCAGGGCGAACCAACAGAAAAGGAAGACCCTTCTGTCTCTCTCTCTCACTGTCCACTCTGCTTGTCAAGAAAAAAAAGAAGAAGAAGTAGAGCATCCAGGACTCAATCCGGCACCCATATGGGATGCCGGCCCTGCAGGTGGTGGCTTTACCTGCTATGTCACAGCGCCAGCCCCCCAACTCCTTTCTACACTTTTTTTTTTTACATGACAGATACCAAACTCTAGGTTGCAATTGTGTAGTCTGGGTTTTCCACTCAATAGTCTAGCATTAACACTCTCGCACCTCATCAAAACTCTTGCTAATCATTCCTTAGTCTTCAAACAGATTCAGTGCTGAACCCCAGCGCTGAAGTCAAGTCTCGAGCGTTTGCTTCCACTCGCGTGCAGCATGAGCCAGCAGGAGATTGGTGTGCGAGTGCCCTGACACCACTGGCCCAGAGGGAGCGCCATCCTCAGGTGTCTTGGGAGGAGTCAGGCAGTTGAGATAGAAGAAAGGCCCTGGCTTTGTTGGTGGCCAGTTGAAAGGAAAGTGAGGGTCATCTTTTGTCACAGAGGGTGGTGGGGAGCGGCTGTGTGTATGCACCTTTTGGGCAGAGACAGTTTAAATTTAGGGTTTACGCATGAGCTTCAAGGGACCAATGGGCCCCCAAATTATTTGCCCCACTGAATGTGGGGGTGAATATTCTGAGGGAGATGGTCCCCAGTCTTCAACTCCTTCCTGGGCCCCATGACCCCAGCCTGGAGTGGCTCTCTTTGCTCCTGGGTTGAGATGGCTCCTCTTCTAACTTCCTTCCTGCCAAGCTTGGGACAACCTGACCACTTCCTGAACAGGGACACCAGGGACAGCCAGGCTGGAGCCACCTGCCTGGCTCCAGAGCAGCCCAGGCCTGCCTCTGGGGCTATCAGAACTCCTGGCCATCCTGGGCAGGCCAGAGGCTGTGTGATGGATGGCAGGGATGGTTTGTATGACTCTGCAGAATGGGCAGGTGCAGGTTCCCCGGGGGCCACGCTGTGGGGCTGACAGCAAAGGGTGCCATCCCGTTGATGATGGCGGTTGCAAGGTGGGGGGAGAGGATCTGCTGCAGTGTGGCCCTGGCTGGGCTGGGGTGGGGGTAGCATGGGGGAGTCTTTTCCTGTCTAACAGGGCTTGGTTTTTCTCGATGACAGTGCTGCCATCCCCGGAGGTTTTGATACCACAAAGTGCAAGACGATCTTCCACAAGGACACTTGCAGCTACTCCGTGGTGGAGCTGGAGAACCCGGACAAGGAATGTCCAGTCAGCTCGTGGATCCTGTGAAGAGCTAGCGGGCCCAGGTCCTCCCGCGGGCCCGGACAGCCCGATGTACAGCCCTGCTTATCAGTAAAGCATGTGTGGAGCAATCACTCGGCTGTGTATGCATTGATTGCACATTTTAAAGCATGTGAACTGAAGAGATGAAAAGTGGAATAAAGGTTATGCCCATGTGCCCGTACCCAGCGTCCCCCGTCCCAGCGCGGGCCACCCCTGTGGTTTCTGCCCGCAGCCTGCTCTCTGCTGGGCAATGAACACAGTCTATGCGTCTTTGCGATGAGATGGATCCTTTCCCTGTTTGGGGGTGTTCGTGTTTATCCTCCCTTCCCCTTCATGGGCGAGGGGCCTCTCCTCTGCTGTGGCTCCCCACAGGCTGAAGTGGTTGCCTGAGGATAGAACAGGTCAGAGCAAGGCAGCCGGGAGAAGTGTCCAAGTCCTGGTGCAGCACAGGGTTGAAGAGGCCAAGGCTGAGAGGGCGTGGCCTGAGGGAGCCAGGGCATGGGTTGTGGCCTGGGGGAGCCTGGGCTGAGGACCTGGCCTGGGGCAGCCAGGGCTGAAGGGGTGTGGCCTAGGAGCAGCTGGGGCTGAGGGGCATGGCCTGGGGAGTGAGGGTGAAGGGCGTGGCCTGGGGCAGCCAGCTCCCCTCCCAGACCACTGAAAACAGTGACTTAAAAATGCACTGTCAACTTCTGTTCAGCTGGGCCAGGCAGTGAAGGGGCACTGGCTGGGTATACGTGACAGGTCACCAACAAGCCACTGGCCATCGGCCTCACAGTGTGGGCAGCTGATAAAGAGCATTCTCTCCCCTCTGGCCCGGCCCCATCTGTGCAAACAGGCCGCGTGGACACGCTGAGCAGTGCAGCCGGGCCCCTCGGCGTCTTTGTCCACTCTAGATAGTGACTTCGGTTATGTCCAAGCCTCCCTGCAGACTCCGCGCCTGCGTCACGGGCATAGCCGTGGGCTTCTGGAACATTCCCCTACTGAGCCCCTCTCCACAGCTCCCCTTCTGTATCCCTGCCGGTGCCTCCGCCACTTTCTACTCGGGCTGCCTTGCCCCTTGTAGGAGCCGCCCTTGAGTGGGACCCATAAGACCCCCTTTTGGGGGCCGTCATTGTGGTGCGCTGGTTCGAGTCCCAGCTGCCCCACTTCCTATCCAGCTCTCTGCTATGTCCTGGGGAAGCAGTAGAAAATGATCCAAGTCCATGGGCCCCTGCACCCACTAGGGAGACCCAGAAGATCCAGGCTCCTGGTTTCAGCCTGGCCCAGCCTTAGCCATTGAGGCCATTTGGGTAGTGAACCCGCAGGTGGTGGACCTCTCTCTCTCTCTCTCTCTCTCTCTCTCTTTCTCTGTAACTCTGCCTTTCAATAAATGAATTAATTGTTTTAAAGCTCCTATTACGATCTTCCACTTGGCTGGGAAAAGTGGAAGCAGTTGTCAGTGAGTGTGGAGCCCCCTCAGGCATCTGGCTACAAACACACTCAGAATCCCAACGTGGTAACGCGACCCTGGGAAGCTGGTGTGAGGAGGCACCACAGGGCAGGCAGGGTGTGCAAGATGGCCCTTAGGGAGCAGCTAAGTGTGCCTTGGGAGTGGTTCCAGGGGTTGGAATCTGGGTTGACATTAGCTATTTACCCTATGCCCTTATAACAATGGGAAGAGGTTTCACTTGAGTCTTTCCAGGGATCGCTCCTCAGCCTGTGTGTATACCGGCCCGAAATGTCAAACCCTGGACCCCAGTCTCGAAAGGCTGACCCTCTAACAGCCAACCTCAGCACCTTTCCCTAAACAAGCCGCCCATGAAGAGACAAGGAAGAGGCCTGCCTCCTCCCAACATCGGGTGACATGGAGGACCTCAAGGGTCTGGTGGACCAAGCACAACGCCTGTCCCTGACCCCTAGTCCAATGGGCCGCTGCTGGTGGTGCTGATCTGTGCAGCCCCTGACGTTAAACTCAGGCTGCCGGTGACCAGGCTGGGTTCCAGGATGGGCCCAGTGATTTGGCTTTCTGTCCGGGCACACAGTAACTGGACTGGACCCTGGGACCAGCCCTTCAAGGATGCAGTCAGGCAGCTGGTAGAGCGGACTAAGAGGACCCTTCGACTGATCATCGCTCTGTTATACCCATTGTCGCTGCGGTAGCTGGTGCGGCTGTCGCCATCGTTTCCCTCGTCCAAAGTGTTCAAACAGCTGACTGGTGAACAACGTCACTCAGCTAACGGCCACTCCCCTGTTTACCCAAAACCAAGCCACCAGTCAGATCAAAACAGCGATCCTGGCCTTGGAACAGGGGTTGGATTCACATCAGAAACAGATTGAACTGCTTTGGCAGACCATGCACCCCCAGTGTGACGTTGGCTTCACAGATGGTTCTGTCTCCAGCGTGCCTGTCTTAGACTGGGAAACTTGGTCCCATACCTTGTCAGCCTGTATTGGGGCTCTTGGATGGGCAGTTTTCTCAGGCGCTCTTCAGTTTAACCCAACAAATTCTAAAGCTTGACGCTCACATTTCTGCCCTGGTAGTCACCACCTTTATATAGGGCCTGGGTGATAACTGGTGGGGACCCGTGAAGTTTTGCTTACATCCCAACATGTCGATTATTGCAGAAGGGGGCAATAAAAAAGTCTCAAGAAAGTGCAATTTCTTGTTTTTTTTTTTTTCATTTGTAATGTTTTTAATGAAGATTTATTTTATTTTATTCGAAAGGCAGAGCTACAGAGAGGGGGAGAGAGAGATATTCCATCCACTGGTTCACTCCCATATGGCCACAGTGGCCTGATCTGGGCCCAAGCCCAGAGCTGCTACCGGGTCTTGTATGCTGGTGCAGGGGCCCAAGCACTTGGACCATCCTCCGGATGGCTTTCCCAGGCACATTAGCAGGGAGCTGGCTCAGAAGTGGAGCAGCTGGCTGTGCTTTAACTGCTTTGCCACAACACCGGCCCCAATTTACAATTCCTTTTACTGAAGATTTGTACAAACTGCCTAGTGTAGGTTGTTGCATGAAAGAAAACCAAATTGACAGTTAGTATTTCGAGTTTACTAAGTCCTACATTGATTCTGACCAACTTGGCCTTTTACCAGTAAGTTGGATGCCAGGAAAAGAAGTACAGATTGGAGATCTTGGTGGGGGGGGTGCTGGTGGGGAAGGAACAACAACAAAGAGTGTGAGAGCTGGAAGGTGGAGCTACAGATGACCTAGTCCAAGCCTTCATTCCACAGTGCCGATACTGGATCGTGGGCTCCTGCACCTGTCCTAACCACTTGGCACTGGTAAATGGCAATGGTTCTTTTCTCTGAGCCTATCATGGTGCTCAGTGGCCCTTGTTAGAGTTATCCAAGACAGAAGGTTCTGATACTTTGTGAGTTATTGAGGAGTGTGAATGTGGACTGAGGATCTTCAGGGAAGTTACTCCATTAGAACGTTCATTTTAAGATGGAGTGTTGGCAACTGAAAATTTATTAATACAGTACAGGAAGACCACGCCGGTCTTGGGTACAGAACCTGGGACTAGACATTGGGAGCCTTAGTTCAAAGCCCCAATGTTCCCCGTGGCAGCTCTGGCCCTTTAGAACGGTCAGTTAAGCTGTGTGGGCCTTTGTGGCTTCATTTACAAAATGAGGGTGCTGTAATCAACCGATACTCAGGTTTTCAACTTCAAATTATGGGTGTGTGGGTCACAGGTGGTTAGAGATCTTTGGAAATTTTTTGGTTAAACCCTATAATAACTTAGCTTGCTTTGTGGTTAATTGCTCAATTTTGGTTCCATGATGTTTGAACTTCGGAATTGTATTCATGCAAACCATAGTATAAGTATGGTATATGTTGTTTATAGAACTCCTCTTTGAGGAGATATTAGGTTCTGTTTGAGGGTGTGTGTTTTTCTCTCCCTCTTTTTTTTTTTTTTGACAGAGTTCTCTCCCTCCTTTTAACAACCACCCCCTGCCCCACACTGAAACAATGATCATGGATCTAGAGGCAGGGAAGTTTTAGAAAGCACTAAACTTTCTAATTTCTTCTAAAAAAAATAAACATTTAAGACAACCCTCACTTGGAGGTGGTGGTAGGAGTAGTTTGGATTATTATTTTTTAAAGATTTACTTATTTATTTGAAAGTCAGAGTTTGTAGAGAAGGAGAGGCAAAGAGAGGGAGGTCTTCCATCTGCTGGTTCACTCCCCAGTTGACTGCAATGCCTGGAGCTGTGCTGATCTGGAGCCAGGAGCCAGGAGCTTCTTATAGGTCTCCCACATGGGTGCAGAGGCTCAAGGACTTGGGCCATCTTCTACTGCTTTCCCAGGCCACAGCAGAGCACTGGAACAGAAGTGGAGCATCTGGGACTTGAACAGGTGCCCACAAGGGATGCTGGCACTGCAGGTAGCAGCTTTACCCACTGTGCCACAGTGCTGGCCCTGAATAGGTTGGATTATAAATGTGAAGATAAGTAGAACTTTGAGTAAGTTTATTAATTTGAGTTTTTAGATACAATTTGGTCCAATTTTACAGGTAGCAGAACTGGCAAAAGTATGTATGCTTGGGTTTATTAGAGTGTTTTGACTATTGAGTTTTTTATTGTTAAGTGGGAGATTGAAGAAAAAGCTGATATTTATCAAAGCACCACCTCTTCCCATAAGTGTGTGAGTCTATATTAATATCCTCACTGAACGGATTCGGAAGTTAGGATCAACAGGAGCAAATGGTGGTCCAACATCAGAGCTCTGAGTAAGTAGTGACTAAAGGACGCTAACTCATGGCTTTCTCGTTGCAGACCCCTGACCTCCTGCTCCCAGTTTCTGTGCTGTGTTTTATACTCCTGAGGGGGAAATTCCAAGCCACCATCGTTGACCCAAACCCTCAGTGTTCAGAGGCTGGGCGAAGTGCTCCTAGATGGGGAGTGGCTCACGTCACCCTCGCTGCAGCCCTCTGTGGCCGCCGCTGTGTCAAAGTCACTGGAGGCCGTTGTTTTTGACCAGTCACCAGCACTAGGCCACAACAGACGAGGCCAAAAATCAACATGTAGTCATCCCTGCTAAAGTTCCATGTTCTCAGGCTGAAAGGAAGTTGCTTGGCCTGCCAAGAAATGAGAGTTAGGGAGC